GCATTTATTGGAACATCCACATAGAACGTACTTTTTGTTTCGCCCAAAAATAAAGGGCTAATGACACTTATATACTACATCTCTTCCCATATCGCACCCTTATAACAAAAGCGACGACTCAAAAAACTTCATTTTGAGTTGTTACTATGACACAGTTGCTGAAACGATACGGCAAAAAGTGTTCATCGTCGACCATCTACAAGCCCTAGCAATGCGTAACCTTTATTGAGCCAGCTGTACAGGAGGATTTGTTGTTTCGTGCCGGAGGGCCCACCTCGCAAGTGCTGCCGCGGCCCATCCCGCCCGGCTACAGGCTGTACGAGGGCCTGGGCTACTACAAGCTGCACTACGAATGGCGGAACTGGTTCGAGGCCAAGGCGCGCTGCGAGGCCGAAGGCGGGTACCTCGCCGTGCTCAACTCACAGGTGCGTACCGCACTTTCGCTTCCAGCAAACTTTCCAGGAAATTCGATATCCAACGTGGATTTCGAAAAGTAAAATTTATGGAAAGTGCCGTATTTTATCTCTGAAGGAACGTGCTGCATCAATTAATGAAAATGAAGCATCTTTTGGAATATTTTAAGATCTTTCAAAATGAATTTGATGTCACGGACCATAACATATTACTGTCTAAATTACTTTCGTATGGAATTGGTACATCTCTGAGATCTATATTTTCGAGTCAATAAAAACGAGAATAATTTATGTAGCTTTCTCTTTGGCGCTATAATTATTTAACGTTAATCGTAATATGTAAATGCATTAGAGCAAATATCCGTAAGATTAATAAAATCGTTCACAGATTGCTCTTCTGTCTGTAGTATGGAAAAGAGTTTTTAGGTCTTTTTTTGATGATACATAGATAAAAACAAAAATAAACGCCGAAAATTAAAAATCTTATTTTTTAAGTGGTTCTTGACAAAATCTTCTATAAAAACAGCTATTTCTTCCTCCATTAGATACATTTGCATTTTTAATTTGATCTACTGTAAGGTGACGAGACGTCTCGTATTAGTTGAGACAGTTTCTTTTTTTAGTCCTTGTCCCGTATTTTTTGGTAAGGAAACCAAAATGTGCCGTTTTTGTGGCAATGACTAATTGGCATAAAGTGCCGTCAACAATTTTAAATTTATCAAAATGTATTCCGTTAGGTTTGCTTTAGTTTATAAAAAAGTAAGCGCGAGTTTATCATGCGCTCTTGTGCCACGTAACAAGAGTATTTCACAGACTATTGAAATGAAGATAGATAAGTAGATAGAAAAGATTCAGTGGTGGTTCTAAGAAGGCAAAATGAGCGATCGTGGCATTTGATCTTGTATATGCTTTATTGCAATCGATATCGTTACTGAGAACTTGACTAATTCTGACCTTCTCTTTCTGTGAGTTTCTGTGAGTCTTCGCAAGCAATCGTAATTGAGGAATATGGACCGGCATGTGTTCCGTTTTGTCACTTTTTCAAGTCAAGCAAGTGTTACAATGTCCCATTTTTTTTGTTTTTTGGATTTGGTCACCTTCAATTACTGTAGAAGTGAAATAGTTGGTGCTTCGTAGAGCGCGCGATTGAGAAACTTGAAATAAATAGCGTGCCAGTTTTTTAGCTTAGCCGAAGGTTTGTGTGTTTGTAGTTGTGTTGCAGTTCACACGCATTTCCCGTTTTACTGCTATGTGTATGTGGTTTGGGTTCGCGTCGATAATTTGTCAATAATCAAGTCGGCTTTTGTGTTGCATTGTGTTGCACTAAGCCCTTAGAATATCAGAGGGGAGTGCTTGTCTTCTTTGTTTTATAGTGAAGACGTGTCTAGCTAATTGTTTTAGCCTTGCCGGAGCTTCGTTGGTTTGAAAGGCTTGATAGGCTTCGTTAAACGAAAGTCGTCTCAAGCTCTGAGTGAAGGATTCGATATCATGTTCCTTCCTCAGTACTTTGAACCGTTTCCGAAACGGACGGCGTGCTATGAGCCGTAGAACGTTCTTCTGTACTAGCTTAAGGGTATCTTTGTACTTCTTACGTGGTCCAACGTGATCAACCACGTTGCCGCAGCGTAGGCAGCCACAGGCCGGCAAGACTTTTATAGAGTGCCAATCGAAGTTCCAAGGGAAGTATAGGTTCCCTCAAAAGAGGTTGTAAGAGTTGAACGCTTTGCTGTAATTTTGATCGAATTTGCCTGACATGCAAATACCAGCGAATCCTTCGCTCAAATATGACGCCTAAATAAGTTGCCTTAGGCGTCCATGTCAGTTTTTGTGTGCCAAGTGTAATTTGATTTGGTGGTGTAAAACGTTTAGTGTATTTGTGTTTGCGACGGGTGTAACAGATTGCCCGCGACTTTTCCGCTAAGAAAGTCAAGTGGTTTTGGTCCGCCCTTCAGCGGTAAGTTCATCTGTTTTTGAAGTATTTTCAATTTGTGGTCTAGGTTTATTCCTCTCGCTCAGTTGGCTATGTCATCAGCGTCAAAGAAAAACCGCATTCGTGGTGTATGTGGGATGCCATTAACATACAGCGAGAACAGTAGCGGAGAGAGGACGGTGCCCTGAGGGACTCCGGCCGCAATCCTCCGCTTTGAGGATCTCGCTTTGATCACATTGACCATGAATGCGCAGTTTGTGAGGAAAGAGATAATCGTTTCGGTTACGTCTTGTGAAACGCAAAATAGCGTGCCAGATACGAAAGCACCACTTTTATAATTGCGCTGCTGTCGATTATATTGAAAAATGCTGAAAGAGTGAGTCGATTATGAGCTTATCTTATCAGTTTACTATCGAATGTGCATTTGATATCAGAATGGAACGCATTTACAGAAACGAGGAACAGATATGATTTGTTTATGGCGGCAGTTCGGACAGAATGGTACATGAATATCACAGACGACTTCCCAGTCGTATTGTACGACATAAAAAGGATATCTGATATCTTCAGAAGGTTGCGATAAACTGCGGCTTATCTCCAGATTCGGAAATAGTAAATGGGCGTGTGAATTTCTTCATAAGGAAGGTTTGAAATTTTGTTACAATTAAAATATAGCTAATCGCATAGCAGTTTCGTACCCGTATTCAAAGACCTGATATTTGCAATAATATAGATAATATATATAATTCAATGACGAAGTAAAGTTCACGAGAAGTGAAATAATTAATTCTATAAACAGTCATCCAAGGTTTCCTAACCCACATGCAACACGTGATAGTCTATTCCGAGTAGATTTTTTTCTTAAATAGTTGGTGTGTAATTGCCAGGAATCGGGTTACCATACTTTCACTACGTAAAATAAGACATTACTTGCAAAAAAGAGGAAACTTCATATAATTTAAAAAAAATATAATTAGTATTTTTACTTAGAGAAAACTACGTACTATTTCAATAATTGTCAATACTACAATAATTGTCACCACTTTCACAATCACACAATAGATCTAAGTCATAATCATTACTTTCTTTTCCACTTTTATTTATACCAGAAATATTTGGTGGATGATGAAATCTCCATCAACAATTAAAACTTTGCTTTGAACCTTGGAACAAACACTTTGAACTTTTAAGTATTTCGTTAACCAAGGCTTTCCTTTTCGGCATTCTGCTCGAAATATAAAAGCCACTGAGAAATATTAACTCCACACGCCAGCAGAAAAGTATTTACACCACAGTTCACAGTACTTATAACCAGCACCATCATACAATATGTTGTATCAACTGATGATAGCACTATTGCATTTCATGGATAAAAGGACATAAATGTAGATCCTCTATGGATTCTGGTGGTTGGTAGGCGACTAATAAATGACATTGAACATTACCTATGATTGTTAAATGTCATTTATTTACAATGAAATATTATGATGTCGGAGACTCGAAAAAGTTGAAAAAGTCCAGGATCCTTCGTACATCACACGTCTATATTACATTTCAAAATAGTAGTGCCCCTTTTCCAATAAGAAAAAAGAGGACATTTCGTCCTTACTTGTAAAATCAACCCGGATAGTTTTTATTAGTTCAAAAAGAGGACATGTCCGGGGAAAAGAGAACGTGTGGTAACCCTAGCCAGGAATCAACGCTTGATTGAATGTTTACGGGAGACACTTATGAACGTTAGTTCAAGCGATCCTTATTATTTCGAGTAATTTGATGAGAATAGTGAACGAAGGTCACCTTGATAACATAGTTACACATGAAATGGGTCATTTAGATATTTTTGAAAGAATCAACAACAACCTAGAAGAATTGCAAACAAAAGCTGCATCTGTTTTACAAAGTATCGAATTATGTTTCAGCAAAGGAGGACGTTTTGAACAGCTTTTGTGAGTACACACCAAAGAACATTTAAATTCGCGCCAAAGATTATGAGTGGAGAAATACAAAATTATTCATTACACCCAATTTACACAATTAAAATAATTTTATATTTACCATTTAATTTTTTTCTAAACAAATGTATGCATGTCTTTCGCTTCATTTCTGCATCGAAATCACCATACTTGGTATGGCTGAAAAGGCCTTGAAACTGACGTCCTCAATATATGTTTACTCTTGTGCGTACATTAAACCCGTGCAACTTGAAAGAATCAGACTTAATTAAAATTTAAATGAAACATTTACATCATATACATTATTAAGTATTACAATGTATTGTGTGAGGGTGAAGTATTAAATCATGAAATTTTGAAAATCGAGAAAGAACAGAAATGGATAATTTACAATGTATAATCATATTTTTGAGAAATTATACTGACATTGAATGTTACAATTATGTGCAACAAAATTTGTTTAAACTGATTGCGTGTAAACGCTACTCTATTTCACAAAAGCGTGGTTTATTTTGTAAACTCGATTTATTTGACTCAGAATTATTTCTTTTTCCAAACTCATAGACTACCAAAATCGTAGCCCCACATCGGAGACAGACCATTGTGCAGTGCTAAAATGGTTTCTGTCAGTGTCATCAAATGTAAATGAAAATCAGATGAGAAATACACGGAATTCAGAGCAGACCTCAAACGTTTACCAGGAACATGGTACGCCGGCTGGTAAGATGTTGTTGCAATTCATGTGCGTTAAATTACTAAAACTACATACAAAACGAAAATTCGCAACAATTGCTTCAACTGGTCAAGTGCTGCTAAACCATATCTGCAATGGCGGGCAGCAATGGAAGGGAAATGCAATTCAACCGATGTTATTTGCGATGTTAGCCGGTGTTATTTGCTAATTACTGCTACCTCAACCCGCTATTCCCGACATCTTTCGTTTCATGTTTCTTTCTAGACCGCCCATGAACCGTAGTACACTTCAGCTCTGTCAGAACTGGAAATCTATAAATGTGATTTGTGTTCTGACAATGAGACATCTTTGAATTCTCTCAAAACGAAATCAATCAATGATCGAAGACGAACTGAGAACTGATGATTTTTTAATAACTCCTGAAATACTATCAAGGAGGTCAATTACATTTGCATGCCCAATATTCATTGGTTATTGCAAGTGGTGTGAATAGGGAGATACGTCATGAGCAATTCGTTGTTTGCTTCAGGAAGAAGCTGACTTAGCCGCCAGCCTCATGAAACAGTATCAGGTGCCAGGCGCCTTGTGGACAGGCATTTCAGATGTCACCGGAGAGCAAGTGTGGGTCACTTCGCTAGGTAAGATGCTCCAACAGAACACGCACATGAGTTTCCCCTTTCTTTTTCACTAACAAATCTAATTACTCCAAAACGAAATAATACGTAATATTCTGGTGAATATCATCCTGTAGTATCCAGGCTCTTATACTCTAGAAAAAATATATGAATAATAAGCAAATTATTGCTGCATGTATCTTTTTGGTGGATATTTAGGGCAAGTTATACTTTCTGCTTCTTTTTGGTTTAACCTTTTTTTAGCACTTGCTAAACTCATTGTACCCTTCAGTAAGTAATGATCAGAGCTCTAAAGCTGCAGCTCTAAAACTCTTACATCCAATGCTTTAATGCAAGATGTCTGTCGCATAATTACGTAGTGAATTATTGATTTCTGGTTCTTCGTAGGGTGTACCGAGGTATATTTGTGAATATTTTTATGTTCATAGACACCATTCATTATCTTTACGTCATAGACGTTACATATCTCAATCCATATTTTTCCATTTTTATTTATGAAATCTTCTCCAAAGCACCTAGTGCTTTGTCCTTTATTTTTCTCCCAACTCTAGCGTTCATGTCCCCCATTATTATTATTATTATTATTATTATTATTATTATTATTATTATTATTATTATTATTATTATTTCTTTCCTATTACATATGAAGTCGAGAAGAGTTGAGTTCCTCTTCAAAATTGTCTTTCAGGTTCTTGTTGGAATCGTCAGTTAGTCCATAAACTGCTTTTATAACACTCTTAAATAAAAAGAATTACACTATCAATATACTTTTGATTTTTTTTTAATTTTGCTCTCAATTGAAAATTTGATATGGGACTGATGTTGTTTCATTTTAAGGCATCGTATCGTTGTCTTAAAATAGGAATTAATATAGCTTATTATTGGGACAATAACTATCAAGTAATTTCTCCTAAAGACTGTCATGGGCCAGGTATCTAGTGACGTACCGCCATTCGGCAGTATTTCACTTCCTTTTAAATCTCTGGTCAATTTCTCAGGATGCAGTGATGCCCGCGAGCTTTAGTAAACTTGTCACCCGCCCGCCATCTTGACATGCCTGATCTAAGGATGCGCTTTCTGTGCAGGCGATCCGCTGTCCTCGACGGGCTACGAGGTGTGGGCGCCGGGCCAGCCCAACGAGCTAGGGCGCGCCCTCTGCTTAGGGCTGGTGCCAGGAAAGGGCCTCGACGACCTCTACTGCAACGCCACAGCGCGGCCTTTCCTCTGCGAGCTCATCGACTGATTGCCCACTCCAGGCCGTGTCCACTCCTTGCAAACCGCGCCCGCTCGAGCCACTTGCCCGCCTGGGAAGCCCGGCGTTACCACGGGCGCGGGCAATTTCCCTTCACTCCTCTCTCATTTCCCCTTAAAATCCAGCGGCACCAGGCGGCGCGAGGTGGCGCGAATATGGCTTCAAACGAAACTATGTTTAACATATTTGTTTTATAAAACAACCGAGATTCGTATTATGCTTATATTATTTACTACTGCTAATTCATGTTTATTTTCTTTTTAAATTCTGCCTTGTATGCAAATTTTTGCTATATGGAAGATATACGTTTGAATGAATAAATTCTTTCCATATTTTCGTTTTGTGTTATGTTTTATAAAATAATTCAGTTATTTGATATACATGTCAATAATATTAAACAAATTAACAAGTTTCGCTTACGGGCGGACAGTTTTTCTTACAAGACAGTTCTTTATCATACAACAATCTTTGTCAGTTAAACTTTGTACATGAATGGAGAAAATTAATGCAATTATTGTACTTTTAATTAATGCTTAACTGCACTTGTTTTAACATGATCAAGCAGCGTGACTCCACTGCATAATCTCAAAAAACGGTTTTCAACACCATTAAGTCTCTTTTTCGAACCTTGGTAGTCAGAACTTGGTAGTTTATTTGATGACATAAATGCCATATTGCTCTATCTTTTTTTTCAAATATTACAAAAATATAATTTTTTAACTTGTCTCACGTTGTTAGTATTTACATTACCGGCAATTTGTTCACAATAATTTATTTATGAGTACATGTGCTTTAAATATTATCAGATTAAGTTTCTCGAAAACTTAATCGTTTACTGTTAAAATTAGTTCAAAATTCCGCATTTTCAGAAACACTCAAATTGCACTTTTTCAAAAATCGCTCCAATTTTTTTCTTGAAACTTTTCGAATGTATTGTGCCAACTGCACTATTTAAGATGACATAGAATTAATTTTGTTGGATTCTTTTGTTTTTTCAAAAATTACACAAATCTAATTTTTTTGAAATATCTCACACGCCTTTAATATGCATATTTCCAGCGATATGTAAGCACTATTACATTTTTGACTAGAAGTGCTTGAAATGAATATGTATGAAGTTTTTCGGAGTCTAAATAGTTTTCTGTGAAAAGAGGTTCAAATTTCGCATTTACAGTAGCGCTTAAACACCATTTTCTTAAAAACAGCTCAAAATATTTCAAAGAAAATTGCCATTTAGCGCGAAGTTTTACTATTTTTTATATTCTTAAAATAATATTTCCGTTCTACTATTATGAAACCGAAAAATTAAGAAAATATAAAAAATGTACTTTGGGCGGCGATAGATAGCAGCTGGCAAAGTATTTGGCAAGTCCGAATAGCTAGCCGAAACCAAAGGAAATAAAAAAACCTGATACGGGAAAGTCTGTGCCAATTTGCAGCATCACTAGTTAATTTTAGAACTCTCTAGATTAAATCTTCCCATACATCATCAACTATCACATAATGTTTTGTTTTGAATAAAGAAGCCTTTATGCCTATTTTCCTCTCTTCTTCCAAATTTTCTAACCCCCTCATCCGGTTATTCTTACCTATATCCACGGTTACAATGATGGGTCATTTAGAAGAAATAACTGTATGTGGCCACAATTTACATGGTAGCACTTGACATTCACCCCATCCTTAAGGTGACGTCTTAGAGGACGCATTGGGATCTATTTTAAATCGGCACTCACCCGGTTGGAAAATACGATACGAAGTTATTCTCTCATATATTATGACATATTTTATATGACCAACGATTCCACAAAAAAGTTAGAATTCTAAGAATACAATCTACATTCATAATGATTGTACCGTCTTGTTTTTCTGGCTTTCCTTTGCGAAGCAAACTGTGTATAAAAATAGCGAGTTAAAATCAGGTGAAGATAAAAATGTTTCCCGCGCCGACCTGTCGCAATCCTCATTCAAAATGTGACGACACAGTTCCAGTCAGTGCATATGTAAGGTTCCTGATGGAACCATTCAAAGAAACGCCAAATAATTTACTAAATACGCCGTTCGCTAACCGCACCGTCATGAATAACTTAAAAAAAAAAAAAAGGCGACAAGAAAGCAAAATATCGCCCCGCCAACTGAGATAAATTTCAAAACTCGAAATTATACATCTTGTACGAATAAAATATGCGAATCTTACAAGCAACAGAAACACAGGAACACTACCATTAGTCTTAAATTCCACATTCTACTTTTGATACGATATCCATTCGCTACCTCAAAATAAAATGTATTGAAGTTTAGATGAAAATGATGGAATTCCAGTTGTACGAGAAAGCATGTCTAGAAACGGGTTTTAATAAATTTAGGCCGTTTTTTAACCACTTCAATAAAAATTGTAAAAAACTTAGAATTTTTGCGCATAGATTATCTATCGATGAGCAGAAGGTAATTCCCTTATTTTGTGAATGCCTGTAAATTTAAGTGAATTGTGAAGAATAAGAAAAAACGACAGGTGAAGTTTTAATCTGAAGTTTCTCTCTCATTCATGAAAACGAATGAAATTAAAGATTTTTTTTCCTTAACGAAATCTGTTCCTTCAAGAGAGATTTTAAAATAAAGTCAAATACAATTTTTCGAAAATATGAGTAATATTCGCGTAAATTTGCGTGAAAGTACGTACGAGAAATTACGTACTATTTTATCGCCACTTGTTATGTATCAGAAAGAGAAAATTAAATGACAGGCATAAATCAGCTCAAAGGAAGATTATTGGTTGGTTTCAATTATTTGAATTTAAGGGAGCAGAATGGAATCATCAGGACTGCTCATCTCATTGGTTCATAATTTGGAGAAAATTTTCGTTTCAGAGTTGGAGAATTTTGTTTCATTGGAGAGGTTATTTGGAAAAATGCCGTAGAAGTGATGGGGAAACAACTTGCAGCCCATCTGGCAACCCTGCGAACCTTTGATCCTCTTTATGCAACCGCCACGCTGAAAGTACTTTTGCACTGGCTGGCGTTTATTTTTAATATAATAATTAACTTTTGATATTTAAAATTATGAGTCTTCACATATTGAATTATAACGAGTGCTAGTGTTTTATTATAATTGTATCATTTTTTAATGTTTTAACGTCAGACACATGTCATTTAGTTCAATATTCACTAAACGTTTCCTGCATATTCTGTATAGCCTGCAGATGGGGAAAGTAGATAATTATCGAAACGTTGCGATACAATTTTGTTAAAGAATAAAAACTTTAAAGGGTATGATTTTATAATTTTATTTATAAATTTTTAGGACACTCAGTCAGTCAAGAAAAAATTGTGGCCAACTGTCATTGTTACAATAGAAGAGAAAAAAGTGGTGGGGAAACAGCATGGAAGTGTTACAATGAGCAGGAGGAATGCCATTGGTAGAATGGAGCATTTTGAGATAACGGAGTAACATTTTGGAACATGTAACTAGAAACTGAAAGTATAAAAAATAGATTCTTTCGAATGTGTAGGAGAGGGAGTTCGATCACGACAGGGACTGCGGAGAAATGGCTTTGATGGACCAAGGACATTCGTCGATCAAGAAGGCAGACGAAAACCAGCGAAAGGAAAGTGACATTTTCAAAAGGGACTGAATAGTAATGTACTTATCCCAAGATCTGCATACATTTTAAATATAAAAAAATCTATAAACAATGGCCCTTAACATTCAATCAGTTAGTAAATTGTACAGATCTGCATGTATGATTGTGAATGGTTATAAATTGGGGTTTTAATTGTGTGTGAATGTGATTTTTGCTGTATAATTACAATGGTTGTAATAGTTATTGTATTTGGTTATATGTTATTTGTCTGGTTTCTCCTGGAGTATCTGAATAAGAATAGCCATCATACCATATCTGAGGTCTTTTTCAAATTATTCATTTGTTAACATTTTTCTGAATAGTCGCAGGATAATTTTAGTCTAGTAGATATTCCTTCATTGATTCTTAAGCAGATACCAAACTATACTTGCATATTGTCTAAATTTTATTTGACAGATATTACTTTTTTGGTAAATTGCACCGAATTGACTTGAGTTATTGTCTTTTATGCTCTCATTCTCATTTGAAACTTCTTGTCATAAACTTAAATCAATGTACTGCCAATATTTGATTTATCTCAAAATAACTTTCTCAAGTTCTTACTATTATTTCAGAAGCAATATATCATCAATAGAGGTTACATACGGTGGAGGCTATTTTTACATAAATATTTTATATGAATAAATTATATTTCTTATGATTTTGAAAATTACTTATGAAAGTATTTGTTAAAAAAACATTACACTTGATATATTGCCATGTGCATTTATGTTCACCACTTCTCATTGTCAGTAAAGCTTGGAGTATAAAAACACTTCAGATATGGTGTGAGAGATAAATTGTGCAAAGAGGCATGGTTCCATGTAAGCTATTTTGAATAAATCTTTTCTTTTTAAAGTAAAAATTAGTGTTGCCATAAATATATCCCAATATAAATATTATATCAACCAAAATCATGTGGAGGAGTGCATTTTACATATCTCGTGATTAAAATAAAATAAATAATTCCTCAAATAAAATTCCAATAGGATAAGAAGAAATCTTGAGATAAAAATAATAAATGAGCTAGCAGGAAATATATTAGGAATAGATTAAAAGTAATAAAGTAATTGTGTGTGTGAGAAAGATGGAGAGAAAGAAAGAGATTGAGGTTTCAATATAATACACAATGGTATTACCTTAGTCATTTCAGAGAAAACCAAATGTTCACATGTTGTTGGAAACAGAATTTGTTCTACACAATATCACTTTATTTAGTTAATCAACACTGATACACCGATAGCATAACAGCACGAACCAATAGAGGAAATTTCAGCAGAGGTGGGTCAGACATCAATGGTTAATCACCCCAAGAGAGTGTCCATGTTCTCTCCAGTTTTACTATGGTGTTCCAATCTCACTTTGTCTTTTGGAATTAAAATTTAACCCAGAATGGGCAGGTAGAATTTCTGAGTCATTGTAGTGATACTGTTTTGGAGCCCAATGTATCTTTAGATAATATACT